AAAGCTGAGAGAGATTAAAGATTGCTGGAGGAACATCAGGAAAGCGAAAGAAAAATGTTGAGGCTAGCAGATGCACGCAGAGGTGAAAATAAAGACACACGTTTTTTCAAAATCCGCTTTATAAAAGAAAACAGCTACCAGGTGGGGAAAGGGTAAAAATACACATTAAAAAAATTATTATATGATGTGATTTGTTTACAATATCCTTGGCTCTACCCCTCTCATGATTGGGCATAGACACGTGCTCACTGATTGGCTAGTCCTCTGAGGACCACAGGTTGCTCAGGCTGGTTGTCACGGCCAGGCAATACTGGCCTGTCAGCGACTGGCAAACACTGCCTTTGAGTTGCCTGGCCAAATGCTGATAGTCACATGTAACCTTGCCGTCCTCTCGCCTGTATGATCCCTTTCGCCGCCCCGATTGGCCTGCTTTGGCGTACGAAATGAGGCATAACCACACGACTTGTGCATGCACACCAAAGAGTCAATTAGGTCTGTCAGTTGGCTGCCGAAATCCTCGCTGTCCGGTAGACCAGTTCTATTGATCGTCCAGTGCCGGGACTGAGCAGACCCCATCGTCTACCAATTTGCAGTTAGCCCAAGGCCATGTAGAATCCTCCCATGTCTCTGTGTAGGTCAGCATCTGTGTGTTAGTGTGCGTATGCATGTGTATGAGTGTGTGTATGCATATGTATGTGTGTGGGCATCCACAAGTTACAGACCGGCCTGAAGCATACGTCAGCAACATGGAATGAGCTCCAACAATCGAGCAAACCTACTCTGGAGGCGGCAAGTAGGTGTGTGTTCAAGAGGGACTTGTGGGGCCATCACCACCTCGTCGGACAGGACTGCCAGTAACCTCTTGTTGCCAAGACTTGATGACGCGCCAGTGACAGCATACTACCTCAGTTACATCCAACATACTTTTTCGATCCTCCTGTTAACAATTGAATATATGAAGACCAGGATGTTGTGGTCTTTGGTGTGGTCGCAGTCTCCTTTCGATTGATAGAAGTGGGTTGACTTCGTTGTCGCAACTTGGTCTTGTTG